TAGGGAGAAAGCATACTGTTTTTGATGAACTACGTCTCTCATCATTTGTTGATTGGATCTGTATCATGGTTTTGAGTTTCTTAGTCAAGTAGCCTGATGACTTTGCCCCTTTTCCCATGCTTTTCATAATTCAATCCACAAAACCAGTAACCTCCAGGATTGGCAACTCTTAGTAGCTGGGTCCCAAATGCCTTCAGGGTCATGGAAACAGGGTTATTTCTTTCTCAAATTTTGTTAATATTGTCTTCCTGGAGCTCCTTTCCCTGTATCTGGGCCAGAACCCCTCCTGTGTCTCCTGTAGCCGCCTTGCTGGTGATAGGTCTTAACTCTCCTGTATATAGTTCCCTGTTTTGTCTGTCCTTGCTCTTCTTCAACCAACCAGTAAGTCCACTGAGCCCCTAGACTGTCTTGCTTGATGCTTTGTCTTCTGCAGCTGGGGCTTTGTTAGCTCAGTAGGCACTTGAGTGAACATGCATCTCTGCCTCCTTTATGGTATGAGGCATCTCATACCATAAAGGCAGTTTGTTTCTACTGATCTCAGAGCTGGAGTATTCTTTATATTTTGCCCTGATGAGCTCTGTTTTTTAAATTTTGCCTTCTGTTTCCTGGAGAGGCCTTGGGGATCTGTTGGCTATGACTACTGAGCCAACAACGGATGCTTCTGGAAGCTGATCTCTTCCTGAACTGATGAATGCCTGAACTTGATACAGTGATTACACATGGTACCCTGTCTCCAGCTGCTCCAGACAGGAGACCAGAAAGGTCTCACGTTTCTTCATAAGCAGTAGGATTGTGTCTTTGAACATTTCAAAATTTTTCTTCAACCTAAAAGGAATGTGAATCATCTTTAGAGGCCAGGATTAAATTCATGTTCCCATATTGTTCAGTGCAGGAGGGACTGGATCCCGTAGTCTCCTAGTCAGGGGAAAGTTGGCAGATGGCTCTGCCTTCCAACCCAGCTTTCCATGCAGTGAAAACATGGACTAAAGGGACTGAATATAACACTGAACCTGTGCTTCCTGCCTGATCTTTAGCTGACCTGCAACCTGAGCCCAAGGCTGACTCTCAGGCCCTTCACAGTGAAGTCAGCAAGGGCTGTTTTGGGGACATGGGGCAGGCAGGGAGGTCCAAATGCCAGCATGGCTGTATGAGTTAAGTGTATGTGACTTGATTTTCTACAACCTGTCCCTGTCCCAGTGAGTGTTGTGTCCAGAGATGGCATTGGCTGTGAATTGCAGAGCCATCTGAAACTCTCTGCATTTAGCAGGAGACACGATAGGCAGGCTCACTCAAAATGAGTGATCCTGAAAGTCACACTAAGGCGCAGTCTTTCTACATGGTGCAGCCACCTCCCTGCCCACCTCAATGTCAATGCACAATGTGAGTCATTCTGGCATTTCAATGGCTCTGACTGGTTTACTTCCAAATAAGGGTGGCCTCTAGAGCAGTCATGCATCCTGGTTCTCAGTTCAGAGTCCTGTTGAGAGGGAATGTTCCAGAGCGAGCATCCTAGCTTAGTCAGATCTGAGAAGGAGGCCTTTACCATGTGGCTCAGGTTCCTTGGGGAAAGTATAAAAATTCAACTCAGAGTAACTCCCTCAAGCATAGACTGGAGTTGACTGTGCTATTTCACCTAGCTGAGAGCAACAGGTTACTATTTGTGCACAAGAAGCAATAGGGAAACTACAGAATGAAGTCTTCATGGCCCGTGCCACCCAATGTTGTTTTATTGCAAGCACCCTAAATGGAACTGAAGCAGTGATCTAGCTTATTGGTACCTGTAAAAGAAATAAGAAACACAGAGCGGGGTGGGTAGAGACCTATCCTTTGGGCTAAGAGCAAGATGCCACATAGAGGTGGGACTTAAACTCCAGGAAAGGGATCCAGCCAGAGGCCCCAAGGCCCTCTTGAGGAGGCATGGCTGTTCCTCCCTTGGCTTTTGCTCACCATTGGTTTCCCAACGGCAGAGGCTGTGCGGTATATACTGCTATATCTCTACAGCGTTGCTCAGCACCCAGCGGGTGCTCAGTGAATATTTGTTGAGGGCAATCCAGTTGGAATGAAACTTTAATATAGGATTAAATGATACGAAAGCAGAGGGAATGGTGTGTCGGTGGCAGGATGACTCACTGAGATGCTCTTTGATGTTTGTTTCTACTGATCTCAAAGCTGGAGTGTTTTTTATATTTTGCCCTGAGGAACTGTGTTTTTTAAATTTTGCCTTCCCTTCACCGAGAGACTTTGGGGATCTGCTGGCTATGACTATCGAGCCCACAGTGGACACTACTAGAAGCCGATGTCGTCCTGAATTGGTGAATGCCTGAACTTGACACAGTGATTACACATGGTATCCTGTCACCACGCCTGTGCCTGGTGCCACTGCTACTGAGTCTGCCACAAATCCATGCTCTCTTATCTTGCTCTCCAGGTTTCTCCAGTGGATAAGGTAACATCCGGGCTTCTACACTGACGACATGCCCTGTAACGGATACTGGATGAGTAGTGAGGTTCTGGAATATTTGTGAACTGGGGCTTTGCCAGCTAGAAAGACCTGGTGCCAACAACAGTTTTGCAATAACCTTATCATTCTCCACTCCATGTCTGAAGCTTTGGCCATCATCACCATTCCAGAGAAGCCCATGGCTTTCCCACCTTCAGAAGGCATGGACAAATATCACCTAGCATACAGTGAAGCTAGGGAGTTTGTTGGACAGATCTCCAGGGTCTTGATGATTCCTTGCCCAGTCTTTTAAAGGGGGTTGGGTCTAGTTTTCTAGGTTTTTGCATGAGATCATTGTTCCTCCAAAACATTTTTTGCTTTGGATTTCTTACTTCTGCCATTGTTTGCTTTTGTCTAGTCCTGTGCATCCAATGTTTGTGATTTCATTGCTCCTGAGTTTTGATCATGGTCTGATCATTCTGTCTGTCTGACCCTTGGGTATCTCCCTTGCCCTTATCCTTGTACCTGGCCTGGTCCCGGTTCTGCTGTCTTTCCTGGCCCTATTTACACTTTCTCTACTGTCACCTCCGGCCTTCTAGAGGTGGCAGTAGAGAAAGTGTAAATAGGGCCAGGGAAGAAATATTTGAATATAAAATCTCCTTTTTCCACTGACCACTAGCTCTGCCTTGCAGTTACTTGCAGGATCGTCAGCTTCTTTCTGTTTTCACTTCCCAGCAACTTAGTGAGGGGAATATCCAAGTCCTCTTCCAATTTTTTGCGAACAGTTATTTCTTTGATTATTGTATTAAATACTGCCTGGTAGGAGCTGATAAAAAACTACAAAGGGGTAAAGGAATCAACCAGAAAAAGAAATATCCAAAGGTGCTAAGTGACATTTTAACATGTTAATAAAAAAGATACAAATAGTTCAGGATGCTTAGCAAGAATTCTTTTAAAGAGTATTTCCATTATCATTATATTCTCTGCTTCCCACCACTACCTTCAAGAATTATTTTAAACATCATTATGCCAAGAGATATTTGAATATAAAATCTCCTTTTTACAATTGTGGAGATGACTGTAGAACATACAGACATTTTATTTTAAGAGCACAATAGGCTTTCTGCATCCTCCAAGTGGTTGTACTCCCAGGGGTGGCTTGTTTGTTCAGTGACAAGGCTGAGTCTCATGGGAAGCAATGTAGCTAGCACATCATTGCATCGGACAGGTATGCGCTTGAAAATTCTCCCCAAGTAACACTGTAATGAGCTGCCTTTGTATTTTGTAAATCTGACCATTCTATCCTGGCTTGTGTTGTTTAGGATGACTGCCCCTAGATGGGTGCTTGCAAGTTTCTACTCTGGATCCTTTTTGATAGAAGGTGAAGGCTTGCTGCCTTTCTAGAGAGGAGAGCTACAAGTTGATTAAGTTGCCTATTCCTACCTCACCTACAGGCTGAGGTTGTTATGACTGTTGTTCCACATGTGCTAATGGATTGCCATCAACTGACTCTACATGAAAGACTAAAATATCAAAGCTGTGTGGGAAGTGGAGCCGATCTAAAAGAGTGGCTAATGTTTCTAAATTGGGAAAAAACCTGGTGCCTTACATCTGGTATGCCTGATTCTCAGCCTCTGAACACCTTTCTTTCTATTGTTCAAGTCAGTGCCTTTGATGTTAGGGAAGTTTGAGGCTCTTGCTGCTATTTTCTTGCTCCTAAATTCCTCACTGTTGACAGTTCTTCAGTTGGGACTAGTGAATTTATTTGCTGTGGCCAGTGATCTATCTCTACCCTTTTGCATTCTGTGTTCTGGTCACCAGGAACTAAAACAGCCATTGAAATGCACTGGGTAGACCACTCCACACTGTTTACATAACATCTGTAAGACCTAATGTCACATCATGAGGTCTGTGTCATTTACTTGCATGCAGTAGAAGCATTCTCATCATGACAGGAGGTTTGGCACTGCAGTGAGGGAGGCTCCTATGCTCAGAGATCCCTCAATCACTAGTTGTTGCAACCAAAGGGATTTGCATGACAGTGAGGCTTGTCATATGTGAGTGCATCACAGAAATACAAATGAGGGTGTGATAGTGAAAGACAGCCAACCAATTGAGTTGTCAAAATAGAAAAGTGTATCTTGACAGTCGCATCCAAATAGAAAGGCTTAGGTCCCTCTTCCTAGTTTGTATCCTAGAGCTTTCTCGTATTGCCTCAAAAGATGCTTCAGCAGTTTGCACAAGCAAATGCTGCAGCTGCAGGTACAATGTGGCATCCTTCTCACTCTCCCTCTCCTGCTGTGGCTCTCTGGGCCACATCTGCTGCTAAGATGGTTGCTTGGAGAAGCCATATTACTATCTGCTGTGGTTTGGGTGTTCAACGTATCCCACAGGCCTATGTGTTAAGGGCTTGCTTGATTTCCTGATTTTTTGTTAGACTTCATCTAGATGTTTTATAAGTACTTGGAATTCACTGTGTCCCAAATGGAGCTTTCTACTTTCCTGTGCAAACATGCCCTTCTGCCTCTGTTCAGCCTCCTGTCCACAGAGTTTACTGTGTCCTACATAATGGCAAGTGTATTAGGCAGGCCCCAGAACAACCAGACTTTATTTTTTGGTCAGATGTACTGCTACTGTGGCGTTACTCTTGTTCTTGACTTCAGTATCCCCTCTCCTCCAATCTATCATCCATACAGCCATGGAAATGACCTTTAATAATATGGTACAGAACCTACCAGTTGTGCAAGAACTCAATATTATTGGGGAGTCTGGTTTGATCTTTTATGCCATATTGTTTTCTACATATACATTCTAGATTACATATTTAAAAAGGTCCCTGAGACAGTTGGAAAAAGATGAGTGAATTATAAATTTTTTTGAGAGCAAGAAGACATTTATAAATATAAAATTGTGCCCAGAAGTCATATAAGAAAAAATGGATCAATGAGACTATCTAAAAATGAAAAATGACCATGTCATGGAAAGTACTGTGAAGAAGTTTGGAATATAAAATACAAATTGAATAAAAAGCCTAACAAAACACATATCAGAAAAGGACTAAATTCTTTAATATATAAAAGGCCCTTAGTAAATCAGAAGGAGAAATAGATAAGTAATGTAATAGGAGAGTGGATAAAGGTAGAAATGGTCCTTCAAAGAAACAGACATGTGTGACCCATGGATGTGAAAAGTGCTGGGGCCAGCCAAACAGTTCAGCAGATTTGATCCCTGGGCCTGCCATGCTGGCTTCGCCCCGGGGCACACTGAGATGGCAATTGAGACTGGGTGTGGCGGCACGCGCCTGTAATCCCAGCTCTTGGGAGGTTGGAAACAGGCGGATCACTATGAGTCTGATTTAGTAGTGAGACCTTGAACACCCTGTAGACCCTTCTCTAAAATAAAAAAAAAAAGTGCCTGCACCCTTCATAATGAAGAAACACAAGAGGCAGTGGGGAGGCATCATTATTTTCACTGTTGCCAATGGGTCCAATTATGACCCTTGGTGGGTAAGGCAGTGATGAAGGCCATACTCTTGTGGTCGCGAGGGAAAAGGAAAATGGCCTGGCCTATGTGCATGTGGGAAATGAGTCAATACCCTCTGAACTAAGGATGTAGATTCTTTAGAGTCAGCATTCAACTGCTAGGAATTTATTCTTTAGATGTACTTCATATGTAATAATATATGTACAGTTT